ATCAATATTAACACCAGAAATCTATAGAGTTAATTTGGTGGGAACATCTGAGGGGAATTTATTATTGGTTCAAAGGGTTTATACCCAAGTTTATCCGGATCGTGTGTATGGCGACTGGGATGATGTTCCATTATTCACAAGCAATTTTATAATCCACAAGCTAGAAGAATCGAAAGAGCTTGTTGAGATCAGGGATATAGGAGATAATGCAATGTTTTTAGGCGATAATAATTCTTTCTTACTCCCAGTTTGTGGCATTCCTGGGTTACAACGCAATTGCATATATTACACAAACAACGAGTACGATCCATATTTCCCTCACGATGCTGGTATCTTCAACTTAACCGATGGAAGCATTAAACCTCACCATATTCCTGAAGACAGTAAAGAATTGCCGCCTATGCTTTGGATCACTCCATCACTTTCATGAGATTTGGCTTGAGTACCATGTACTATATTATACAAACAACGAGTACGATCCATATTTCCCTTACGATGCTGGTATCTTCAACTTAACCGATGGAAGCATTAAATCTCACCATATTCCTGAAGACACTAAAGAATTGCCGCCTATGGTTTGGATCACTCCGGCTCTTTCAGGAGATTTGACTTGAGCACCATATAGTTCTACACTAGTTGGTTTAATTGCACATTAATTTTATCTTTCTTCTTCTTTTCACGGTAATGTCATTTTTATTTTTTTGAAGAAACCCAGTTGTTATTATTTTTTTTTTATATAAAATAAGCAATGTTAACGATGATTTTTTAAAAAAAAAAAAAAAGGTGGTTTACAGGCGATTTTGTTGCAGTGCATGTATCTTTGATGCTCTGCTTTTTAAAGATTTTTATCCATTATGTTTTTTTTTTTCTATATATCTCTTATATACTGATCTCACATGTGATGAAACCATAGATGAATAAACTTAAAATCTACCACTTAATAGAATATAGGACCATATAATACTCATATTAACCGAGGAACTAAATAAATTCACCAATTATAAAAGAAAGTAGAAATTTTAGGCATTTTCATCCTTGTGTCTCCTCAGGTCTGCTACATTCTTGTATTGTACCTCCTCTTACAGAGATTGCACACTTCCTTTGCTTCATGGTGAATAGCCTTTTGGTGATCAATTAGCCCTTTCAAGCTTTTGAAAGAAGTCCCATTATCACAAAGATGACAAGGGAAGTGTGGTGCTTCTTGTTGGTTATTCATGATGGAGATATGCAAAAAATTAAAGTTTAAAATATGCTGTGATAAAATTATTATAGGGGGAAGAGACTTTATATTGACAAATCATTCTAAGACTATACATAATTAAATAATAATATTATTTCAACCAATTTATCATATTATTCCCATTCCATTTTAAGTCATGTATTTTCTGTCCTAATTAAATGTTATTAACAT